CTTTTTATTAGAGCCAAAATCATACTTGGTATGATTTTTTTTGTCCTAGACTTTATATTAGATGTTGGATTTATTAGTATTAACAAGAACATAGGATATTTATAAGAGATGGGTGAATAATGAATTTTTTTTTTTCACTGTAAGTATTAAATGCTTTTGTGGCAACTCGCCTTTAAGGACTCTTTTAATTCTACAACTCATCTTATTTGGAATTATTTTATATATCATGGTTACTGATGAGCTTTTTATTTATTAGTAGAAGAAAGCATGTTTATGAAAAAATATGCTTTAGAGTCAACATCCTATTCAACAATAACAATAAACCCTGTAATGGTTAATGTGGTGTTGCTTATATCCATCTAACACTGTTACAAACCTTGAATTCTATGTCCTTAATAAATAGTATAAAGGCGAGGAAATTCCTAAGAATTCAACATTAGGTGAAGTTATCGTATTCATTGTAATAAAAAAGCACTTAATCTCAGTTGTTATACAGATTTTTTAAATGTTACGTGGGAATGTATGGCCTGTTTTATGTATGTGTGTTGTTGAATGCACAAAAGCTTATGGTCAACTGTAGTTAAAAATAAAGGAAACTCTCTTTAAAGTATAGAATTTCTTCATTACTTTTTTGAATTATAACACATTCATCACAATACATGTCCACTGAATTCCATAATCTTTGAAATGGCAATAGATTGTATTAAGATATATACTTTCATTACATTAAAATATTTCATTGCTTTAAAATATTAAACATTTCAGATTTCATGAGGAATTTTTATATATTTTAGACAGTTACCTTAGAATATTTTATTTAGAAGATATTAAGTAATTAGAGTTTATTGTTATCCTAATGCTGGAAGTTTAATGACAGACTTTTTTTTTTGGTAGAATTTTATCTTTAGTGTAATTCAGTTGTATAAGAAAAAAAATTAAGGTAGCCTTTTGGGAAGTTTCTGCCTAAATTAGCATTGATTTTCTAGCATCCATTTAATAAGATCTTACATGATAAATGACTAGATAAAATAAGTATGCTCTGTCACATTTAGTTTTATTATTTGTAGGAAGGATTTTTTTCATATTGAAGGTATATGACCACATGTGTAATATCACTAAAGAAGACATTACAGAGGTAGACTCTTCCAGTGAACTCTTTATGTAAAAATATCTCTGAAGACTTTTGTTAGCTAATACTATTTGCAATTTTAATGCTCTTGAGGAGCTTTAGCATGACCTCATTATTGACTTAGAGTTGTCACATTTTAGTATCCTGGAACAAAGGTTAGAACAGCATGGAAGGTTGGTATTTGTATGCTTTGGAGAGGAATTTGAGATGCTACCCTGTTTTGCCATCAGTTTTCTAGTATGCACGGGTGCATCATTAATCATAGGAAATGCAAAAATAAATAATCCAGTCCCATTGAATTTTTTATGTGAATACTTACCTTTTCCCTTTTTTGTATATACAGTGAGGTATTTAGGTAACCCCTAACCTTTTGCTTCAACAAAGAAGTACAGTATAAAAATATTACCACAGTTTTCATGTGAGCAGCTCTTGAGGGAAAAAAAGGCCCTCTAGATGAATATTTGTTGGAAAAAACAGTTGTGATACAGAATGTCTTAACTCAGCCCCAATGCAGTACTTGAGGACCACCAGTGTATAAAATTGAAAGCACATGAGTTTTGAAGCACTAGAAAAGGTTTGTAATTGATTAGCGTTGGTTGAAAGTATTGAAGTTCAGTGAGTTTTGATTTGTGAATGGTTCTATTCAATAAAGATTAATTCTGTGTGTTTGATAAAATCTTAGTGCCTTCAATGAGTTAGCTTTCCCCACCCCTGCAGTTTATTTAACCATCAAATATTTCAGTGTTGTTTTAACAAACTGGAACATTTCTATCTTACTGAATTTAACTTTAGCATGACTGATTTAAACAGGTCAAACTATCAGTGATTAGTTTGAAGGGTGTAATTGAATATATTAATTTTTACTTTTAAAATAACTAAAATATATCATAATGTAATCATGTATATTTCATGCCTTTTTGATGATTTAGAGACTATCAAGAGGTTCATATAGACTAACAGAATATTTTCATGCAATTTCTTTGAAATCTTTTACATTTTAATATATTTTTAAAATTTAAGAGTGAAATCTAACAATTTTTCTGGTAAGGTTAGGATTATTTATTATAATTTAAAATAATTTACAATATGAGTCTTTGGGAGTTGCATTGACATTTTTAGCTGGAATACGTGTTGGAGTGGTCTGTGTGTGTTTTTAACTTTTGAAATTCTCTCCCTGGATTTTGGAATATCTTTATTGTAGAAGCAAGTTGTGACACTTTGTCAACGATTAAATCTTGAAACTTAAATTATTACTATTATTGGTATGGACCATAGCTATTATTTTGGAAATCAGTGTTCACACATCATATTCAGTCAGTCACTTTGGTTTGTTAAGACAGGTTTTATGTAGAAATTTAATCAGTCAACTAATATATTTTCAGAAATAAGTTCTTAATTGTAATATGCTTTATGAATCACATCTTTCATTTTCAACAGACTATTTGTGATAAATAATGGAAACATTTGAGTTGTACAGATTGAAAATTCTTGTTTAAGTTAAGATAAATGATATGCGGAGAGAGCAAGGACACTGAAACCCTGTCTCTGTCCATCTTTCTGTATCTGTCTGTCTTTCACACACACTTTTCACTCATTATTTTTGAGGTGCGGCCTTTGGTCAGTGTGTACTTTGTCCCTCACTTAGGAAAAGCCTGAACTTTTAAAAACTATTTTACAAAATTGGAGCACATACTTTTGCCATTTCATTAGGTTGTTTTGATAATCATATAAGAATTTAAAGCTGAAGTGAGATTTTAGACTTCAGATAGATTATAGATTGGTGAGATGTTTGCAATGTGATGATAACCTATACATAATGTTTACTATCCACCTGTAATTAGTTTAGTGTAGTGGGTTCATCTTAAATTCTCTATCCAGGCTCCAAAGTACTATTTGGGAGTGGGAGAGGGTAAATTCCACTTTTCAGAAGAGGAAGAATTGTTATGACACGTGATAGAAGGTGATCTTTATTTAGTTCACTATAATGCTTTGTTGCTTAGAAACTTGGTCAAGTTTTAGAAATTTTACTGTAGAAATAAGCTTTCAAGGGTATTACAGATATATGACCCCTAATATGATAGAATAAAGAGCATTTTAACATTCTTTGTGATAATATTAATATCTTTACTTGTAAGAATGAAATAGTCCTTGAAACTTGGGTTGTTCCTGATCTGGTTAGAAAAAAAGTATTTTTTTTTTTTAACAGAGTAATATTGTGAAAGAGTAACTTAACTGCTTGAAATGCCTGTTTCAAGTTATCCCTCCCTGTAACAATCGTTTAAACCATTTTTTCCCTCTTCTCTTGGGCAGGAACAGCAAAAGTTCCCATGCATAAGCTATAATTATTATATGGGCTGTAATGCAGTCTATATGGTCTGCTTTCTTAATGCAGAAAAACTTAGAGTAACAGTTATTGCCTACCATTAAATTTTGAAAAATCTGCGATTATTATATTGTATGTGTTATAACTGAGGGGCCCACTTACAACTATTGAGGGAGTCACTACAGCAATTTTACTTTTTTTTTTTGCAAAATACAAAGTATATTTCCTCACCCTTTTAAGAAAACCTTTTTCTCTCCTTCAGGTTTATTTCTCTTGACCTAAACTAAGACTGATCCTCTGGTAGCCAGTTAAAATGTGTGAAGTAGGAGGAGTAAAGGAAACTCCAATCGTTAGTTGTAAGTTTATAAAGCAAAGTTAATATAGGTATACACAGCAAAAGGATTTATTTTAAAGGATAAAAGAAAATTTTATAAACTTGCCTTGTAGTTGGAACATGTTGGACATCATAAAGAAAATCTTGTAAGTGTTTAGATATTTTGCTATAATACCGTTGTCAGCTTATGAACGTTGAAGTAGTTTATTTTTGTGTATCAACACTAACTTGAAATTAAATATTAAGGATTATCTTATGCCTGTTTTCTTTTCAAGCTCAGCGTGATTTAACAGGTATGGCTCTTTTAAATCATACAGGGTATCCTTACGGAGTTTTATTTTTCATGAGACTAAACGGTATTCATTTTGGTAGATCCAAGAATATGAGTAAATGAATCCTAGACGTCTTAATGTTTGCTGTTTGTTTATAACAAGTTCTACATGTGGATAATAGTATGTAGATGTAAAATTAAAATTATAGAGAAAAATACAGTTGCATATAAGTTTTTAAAGACTTCTGTAAACTTTTAATATTCTATGTAACTATAAAGACCTTTTAAAAATGGCTGTTATATACTTTATCATAATTTCATTTCAGTTGAATATATGCTTCAATTATATAAAGCTGTTTAGTAACAAAATTATGCAGATATTATCTTTTGCAGTTTAAAATTATAAATAGATTTATTTTAGTCGAGCTGGTTAAAATGTTAACTTTACTGCAGGTTTATTTCTCTGTTTTACATGGTAGAGCTTAATGTCGAGATAATTCTGTGGTCTGTTATTTGGTAAAATTGCTTCCTTTTTGAAGTTACTCAGATATTGAGAGCTGCCGGAGTGAATACTTCATAATACTTTGATTAGTTTAATGTCTCATTTTATTTCAGTGTGGGTTAATGAGAATATTAAACTATTTTTTTTTTACTGTTTCAACTACCTCACTTCTATAATGCTAAAAAACATTTGATTAATGTGAGATAATTTAATTTTTTCTTTTTCAGCTCATTACTCTGAGAAGTAGATAAGTTACAGATGCCAAATGCAAATATGTACAGCATTTTCATTTTTAACTTTTAGTGCAACAAAATAGCATTATTATTATGATCTTTAATATAATGTTATCCGGAAAAGCTAGCAGTTAGTTTATGCAAGAAACATATCTTTATGTTTAACAGGTTCATCTCTTATAGGAGTTTAAAATATGATAACACTTACCCCAAAAGAAGTTTTGCTGACATGGTGTCACTGTGCTGAAGAGGCTGTTTGATGCCATAGTCCCTCCTTTTTTTTCAGATAGAACTTGTACCCTCTGTTGTAAATTCTCCTTGCAGCCTTAAACTGAAAATACAAACCATACCCAAACCTTGTTTTAGTTTTACAGTATGCCTGGAGTACATAGACTTTATATTTATTTTTTTTCTGTCAAGAAATTATGTAGCTGGTAACATGTGAAAAGCAAGGAAACAAAACAAAAAGAGAATGAGCAAATATTTGAAGGACCTACTATTACTGCATAGACTGTGGTTAGAGAGCACTCACTGACTCTGTTGGTCTCGGTGGCTGGTAGTGACCTGCGGAGATTAACCATTTAAAAACCAGAGACTTCTTGCTGTCCTCCTGGAGAAAGTTTGCACCGCACTTGTGGTTCTGTGGTTGTTTGTGAGGCGAATGAAGCATTCACACAATCCAAAAAAGCAAAAGCTTTAAAACTCCTTTTTTTTGCAAGCACTATTACTGGAGAGACAGAATCATGTGGTTTGTGACCTCACAGTACTCAAAGTAAAGTGGGACTGCCTACCACTGTGGCTTTTCCCCCCTTGCTCTTGCTCTCTCTTTCTCTCTCTCTCCCTGACAAAAGGCTTGTGGTAAGGCCCTTCCTGGCATCCAGAAGGATATAGCTATTTAATTTTTGTGACTCATGAGGATTTGGATAGAATACAAATGCTGAAGGAGCCCAAACTCCTGTAAGGTTAAGCATTTGTAGAGCAGAACTCTGCAGTTAAGGGCTTTCCTTTCTATCCTCCCACCCCATTTTTTTTTCTTGGCCTCCTCCTTTTATTTAGTTCATTATTGTGTCTGTGGAAAAGTGAGCAAAGTTGGCTCAAGAGGCTGTGTGAAATTCTGAACAACAGTGATGATTTACAATAATTTACATCTTTGGATTGTATCACATTCTGGGGTCTGCTTCATATTTGCTGGGTGATTGGAGTCCTTCTGTTTTTCTTTTTCCTGTCTTCTCAAACTTGTGAATCTGTAACTCATTGTAAAAAAGTTTACCTTTCTTAAGGTCTGGTTGCAAACTGCTTGCTGGGCTTGACTGTAATTGGCTGTCATGAAAGTGTTAGTCTAGGGATTCCTTTTACAAATGTTAAATCATGTCTGTCTAGTTTATGTATGATCAATATTAGATGCCGGCTCCTACAATAAAGGTTAAATGTAATTAGTATCATTTATGTTACGTATACCTTTATTTTATGACTAGTTTGAGGATTTATAAAAATGAATGACAAGAATTGTAACAGTTTATTGGATGAATCTTAGTTTTCTTTATGCTTGTAATGACTTATTTTTCAAGGAATTGTATTCATTTTGTATAGTTCTTTAAATAGTTTATCTGGATTTTAACAGAGCCTTCGATAGCAGATCTTATACATATGTAAAGTAAAATTTTTATATTATAGTTTAGATTTTTCAATATTAGATTTTATAAGCTCAGAATGGAGTGGGTTAACAGAAGCTGTATTTTTTGTTTATAATGAAAGCTTTGAAATAAATTACTGTGTGTAGTAAGAAATAATGCACACAGACAGAGTATGTTAGTCGTCTCGATTTGCTAATTCCGATTCAGAAGAAAATTGGAAACATCTTTGGGAAACTATCTCCTTTTTTGCCCCTTTGGACATGTATGTATAGAACTCATTTTCTTATTAGGATGATTATATATCATAGGCAGAGAATTTCATCTTTATGAATAGAGCTTCCTGTTTTCATCAGTTGGGAGTGATGGGGTATTTTTCATCAAAAATTATAAAACTGAACAGACCAATTTTCTAGGCATTTTTTTCCATTTACCACGCCGCTCTTAATTTGCATGTTAGACTTATTCCTAGTGTGATAGTAACTGGGACTGGCGTGAAGTAAATGATTGGGAGAGTGGGCGGAGACAGTAAATTACAAAACATTATTTGGGGTGTATAATGGGATAAGGGCTTGGAAACTAAGGAAGGTATTGGAGCCAAAATATCCTTGCCTGTGGACTTCTTAGCACAGTTCATTATCTCTTTTTGGTTTATATTAGATAAAGATAAATGTACAGACATGTTACATTTTAGTTTTTATTTTAAATATAGACTTATACCTTATTGTGTATGTAAACATATTTTACATTGAAAAGTAAACACTTTCATTTGACACATAATTATTCATGCAAGAGAGAAAAGTTATTCACTTATTCTCTTTAATAAATAAGGTGGACTGGTGTGATCCATATCTCTAATCAATGTAAAAAAGTAAATTAAAGGAAGACTTTGTGTAATTTGTGGAATTTCCAAACGTAGTTCCATATGCATATATAATAGTAGCAGAATCAGGCAATTGAAAAAATGTAGGTAGCTGCTGTAGTATGGTAATTAAATGCTTTTCTTCTTTTAAAATGAGGTTTTAGTATCTGCATAAGGATTCTCTGACATCTTACAAGCCCAACTTTTTGCTAAATATTTTCTTCCTTAAAATTTTTAAAAATTATGTGTACTTTGGCCCTCCAAATTGACTTTAATGTATTTGAATGATTTTTAACATCTGTGTGTTTTTTAACTTTTTATTCTCTTTTTGCAGGTAACTCTCCTGCACATAATTTTTAGGTCAGGTTAATCACTCTTATTGCATAAGAGTTTAGTAGATATTGCTGAATATGCCCTGTCTGTTTCATGTGAGGCCTGTCAAATTCTGGCAGGAGAAAGATAGTGAAGGCATGCATGTGCTTTAAAGTTTGTATATTCATTATCCATAATTTTTTTTTTCTAAATTGAAAATATATTTTCTTTAGAGCAAATATAACTTCATGGTAAAAACTGAAAAACAACAGTGATAAGCGTTATATATTTGATAATTGTCAGTTTGTTTCATTAGAAATAACTTATCACATGTGATGAATAAAGCCTGACTCAGAAGAGTCTCTGCAAATAAAGCTCTTAATTATGGATTTATATTATGCTTAAGATCAGAAATGGAAACCATAGGGTTTTCTCTTAGTTCTTCAAAGACCCTCAAAACTTCATCCTTTTTGGGGATTATGTTCGTATTTGCTATGTTGAAGTAAGTAACAAGTTTAGGTCTGCTGTATAAATTATGCATTTTAATGCCATGGAAATGAAATATAGCTCTGAACTTGAAATTAATTTCAAAAAGTAAAGAAATTAGTTATCTTGCTTCCCCATTACCTTGTATTTACTAAATTTGTTAACATTAGTCAAATTTTTTATATCGTATGCTGTTAGCTGAATAACAGTATAATAGTGTTTTAAACGCTACATATATTTTCACTGCTACCTTTTAAATTATTTTTTTATTTTCTGAACTAATGATCTTACTTAGATACAGTCGTTTTAGTTTATCAATATCAATATTGTCCTTATTTCTATGTGTTTTTTTTTTATTGTTTTAAACTTCTGTTTGTGGCTGTTCTATTTTTCTTTTTAATTGAAAACAATAGAAACAAATTATTTAATGTAACAATTTTATAAGTTGTAGAAATCCTAATTTGGTTTAAAATATTCTCACTGATTATGAGGCGTTAGCAGATACTTTCTTAATTTGTTGCTTCAGCTTGGTATGTGACAATTTTTTGTTGGGTTTTTTTTTTTATTTAATGTATAGCTCTTTAAGTTTACATTATATTTATTGGGTTTTATATTGATGATTTAAAAATTTTTTACATTAGTGAAATGCATATAATTTTATTAGTATTTTAATTTATGATCATGAGAGATTAGTTTCACTTCCTTGTTTTAATGGGGTTAATGTCTATGTACACAACTGCATGCACATGTCTGTGGTTGTGGATGTGTACAGATATTTCGCATTATTTTTTGTGATGAATTTTTCTTTTATTTTTTCCTCCTCATTTTGCTTTAATTAAATTACATAAAAACCCCAAAGCACCACTATGTCCATGATTGCTTAAACAACTTCATTTCTTTAGTATTAGCAGCGATCTGTCTAAATGTGTGAGATTATGTAGAAATTGGATACCGAAAGAGAAAATACTAAACTTTTCTCTCTCCCTCGCTCGCCCCCTCTCTTTTACTCTGTCTCTTTTCTTCCCTCCGTTCCTCCCTCTCTCCCCCTGGCTTTTTCGGTTTCTCTTTCTCTGTTTTGATATTTCTATAGTGTCTCAAAGTAGATTCTTAAGGTTCTAGTAGGAGATATTGACATTAATTTTCACTAATGAATACCTGGCAGGTTTGAAGCACCTAACATTCAAGGCAAAGCGTAGTTATATCCTGAAGTAGTACATACACCCGTAGTTCTATCCTGAAGTAGTACATACACCTCGTTTGTTAGACAGTGTTGGCATCTGATTACAGTGAGTTTCTTTCTTTTAACAGTTTTCAATTCCTATTGCTATCTTAATTTATTTTAACATATTGTTTCACATGACATTACACTTTAATTTTGAGGATTTGTTTTTTTTCCCCTTTTGACTAGTCTTCGAAGTGCAGAGTGAGCTGTAACTTGTGTAATGTAGCTGTATAAATAATTCATGTTTCTTATAATTATTAGAACAATTCATCTTCTAACACTGTCATTTTTCTAAGAAGAAAAAAAGGCGAGAACTTGCAGAAAATATGGGAAACATGCTCATATGACAGCTGAGGATGTGGCTAGGCTAAAGCAGGAAACTGCTACCCACAATGCAATGTTACATATACTACCACTTAATAAAATTTATATCAAACATGCTACTGACAAAACCAAAGAAAAATAATATCCCAGCTATACTAGCTAATGTACTAAATATATCTAGGGAAAAGCGAAACTAATACTTTTGGAACCTTTGTATTTAGAGAATATAGTAAATGAAACTATGGGACATCATAGTACTTTGGAGCTCTGTCTTTGTGCTGAGGGTCTTGGTTGTAGGTGGAACTGTCTTATAATAAGAACCTTTTGGATATTAACTTTTCTGGAAAAGGCATAAAAGGACACCCACTTTCTTTTTTTAATTGAATTCTTGCAGTATTAAATAGGGTTGGAGGACATTGTCATCTAGTTGGAAAAAAAAGTTAAATTATGAATACTCATCATGATTATTTAAACTTTTTACCCAGCCAGATATATTTCTTTCTATTTTGTTTCAAGTTGTCTTTTATTGCCAGGTTTGAGGTGAGACTTGAATTGTCCACTGAGGCATATTTCTTTCCAAAGTAATTGTTTTTCTTGCTCTTTCTTATTTATGTTAATCTACCTATAGCTTACCTGATAAGTCTATATGCTTTACTGTAGGGAGGGTTAGTCTAAAGCAAAAATGTAAAACACTTTTATAATGTGGTTGAAAAAATATGGAATCTTCTTAAAAAATCAGATTTTAATATACTTAGGATTTCTGTTTATAAATCTTAAATCTCCTGTGTTCTTAGCTGTCAGACTATAGCAATTTTGATGAATTTAGTACCTTGATAATTTAAATGAATTATGAGGCTTTATAAGAGAGGTTTTTGAAGATTTAAATAAGGGAACATAGTAGAGTTTTGAATTGATAAACAATGTATAGAAATTTTATCAGAGGAAGAATAGAAAAGACTATAAAGTCAGTATTACTTATGAAAGACTCTCTCTTAGTATTCCAATATATAAATTACCACTGTGTCAGACATGGCATAGTATTTGTCTTCTCATCATTTAAACATTAAATATTGTCTCTCTGTCTATATCTCTATTAAGGATGATTTGCTTAATTGTTTGAAGTATTTCTCCT